GAATGAACGCAGTGGAATACCATCGATCTGTTTCCATACCGAATTCATTTTCTACCACAGAGTGCGTATACGTGTCCGGCTTGGAAAGTTCGAGCGTAGCTGCTCGACCGTGCACGCCATTGCCATACACGCGTCCTAGGTTACAAGATCCTTTACTAGTTTCCACCAGTTTCCCCTTGCTTATTTATCTGGCCGGGTTTTCGCGCTGTTATTTATGCCCGACAAAAAAATTTGATAAGAATACAGCTTTGCTCCTGTGGCAGATTTTTTGTGAGATTCTTTTAAGGCGTTTTGTGATATAGATTAGACGTATCGAGGGTTCCGGAGCTTCTTTGTAAAGGAGATAAATTGTTGTTGGTTTTAGTGACTTTTTACTGAGAATAGCAATTGCCACTGTTGAGATTTGTATGTGTAAAGTTGAAATTTGAAAATGTGGGAACAGTGAAATATTGTCACTTATGAAGGATTTGAATTGGAGATTCGAAAAGAATGCAAAATTCCTTAAAAAAGACGAATCGAAATGAAAAATTAAACAAATTGAAATTTTGCAAAATGGAAACTGCAATATTCTGAATTCTGGAAGATTACAATTGAAGATTCGAAAGAATTACAAAATTTCCTTAAAAAAGGCGAATTGAAATGAAAAATTAAACAAATTGAAATTTTGCAAAATGGAAACTGTGCAATATTGTCACTTATGAAGGATTTAAATTGGAGATTCGAAAAGAATACAAAATTCCTTAAAAAAGACGAATCAATTAGCCTGGCGATTTAATAAAAACACAAAGGGAAAGAAAAAAGTAAAGCATTACGGCCGGTTAACGAGAAAAAAATGGCTCGACGTTATCGCAAATGTACTACCGCGATTTTAATTTACCCAACGTAATCTCCCGCTTAGTCAAGCACCGCGTAGATTTGTCGCGAATAACATTTCGAAAAGCCACCCTTAACGTTTCGACCGAGGGTACAAAATGGTTACATTGCACGCTCGAATAATCGCTAGATCAAAAATAGTGGTTGCACGCGAGCTTTTGCTCCCTTGTCAGATCTTTCCAAGAGACTTTGAGAGAAAAATTGAACATTCGAAGTAATGTTATAGTTTATCGAATAAATAATAGAATTTGTAGGAAATTTTTTATTGTTTTTAGTTCAATTGTACCATTCGTCTTCGGTTCAATTTTCAGTCCAATTTTCAATTCGTTTTCACTTCAATTTGTAGTTCAATTTTCCATTGGAAATTTAGAAAATTGGAAACCTCCATTTTGCGTCATTTCAGATCGTATCAATTTTATATAAACAAAATTAAACGAGTTTTCCTTAGAAGAACTTCGCAACTCGTAAATCGTAACGTTTCACCTTCGGTTATAGTTCATATTTCAATGGAAACGTGAACGTTATTGCAAATTGACAGGCCGCGTGTAGAATACTCGACAATGCAGGATCAGACGCAGGCTTAAATCACGTTGAGAATGGTTCGCAGTGGTAGCGAAAGTGGAGCAGCACACGATTCAATTTTTTCCAGGTTTTTCGGTTCTCTCAATGCGCACAAGTTGATCTATTAGAGAACGAGTCGAGGGTATTGCCAAATTTAGAGATGCAGTGGCAACTCCATTAACGAAAAAGGAACGCGTTTCCTTCGCGATCTGTTTTTTAGCCTTGCCACTTTTCTTCGGCGTTTAATTCGACGAATTAATGCTTCCACTGGTTACTACACATTTCTTCTAGAAAGTTGAATAAACGCAACGATAGAAATTATTCAATTTCTTTTTATGTAATTCGGTTATACTGTCCAAGAACGAATATTTAATTTAATATTGCTAATTGTAGCAGTGAAAGCAAACATTTCACGTGACAAAATATCGGAGTAAAAGGGAAGTAATTCGGTTTTGCAATTTTTTCGTAAAATTATAACGAACGATCGGATAAAAATCGCTTCACGGTGAATTGTGAATTTTCTAGGCAAGTGGAGTACAATTACGTAATTCCAGTAACTAGAATTTTTTCGTTGCCGTAACAGGACACGTTTCGACTGCGTGCCTACACCCATCGACAGTTCCGCCAGGCTAATTAAACGAAATCGTGATCTAGCCAAACCCTTTCGCGTGTCATAGCAAGGAACTCCGGGAATAGAAATCGAGCACTGAATGTTGCACGATTAGCATAAAGCATACTGGTGAATTATCATATGTATTTATTTTTATTTGTTATGTGTTTTAACATTCTATTGAGAACTGGTATTAAACATAGTCGGTGGAACTATATTCAATTCAGAATTGATTTCTCTATTGCAGTATATTTGAAAAATTTGTTTGTGCTTTCATTGTTGAATTCTCAGGTTAATTTTGACCAATGTGGAAATTATTATTGAGTAGGATACGATGGAGGTTTATTGGGAGAGTTTAATTAGAACCCATAGACCCCTAGACCTATATCCCCATAGACCCGTAGATCCATTGATCCATAGATCCATTGATCCATAGATCCATAGATCTATAGACACATTGATCCATAGATCCGTAGATCTATAGATCCATAAATCCATAGATCCATAGATCCGTAGATCCGTAGATCCATAGATCCATAGATCTATAGATCCATAAATCCATAGATCCGTACATCCATAGATCAATAGATCCGTAGATCCATAGATCCGTAGATCTATAGATCCATAAATCCATAGATCCGTAGATCTATAGATCCATAAATCCATAGATCCATAAATCTGTAGATCCGTAGATCCATAGATCCATAGATCTATAGATCCATAAATCCGTAGATCCATAGATCCGTAGATCCATAGATTCATAGATCCGTAGATCTATAGATCCATAAATCCATAGATCCATAGATCCGTAGATCCGTAGATCCATAGATCCATAGATCTATAGATCCATAAATCCATAGATCCATAGATCCGTAGATCCGTAGATCCATAGATCCATAGATCTATAGATCCATAAATCCATAATTTCATAGACTCATACCCCCATAGACCCATATCCCCATAGAACCACAGATCTATAGAAATTTTAGATATCAATTCACAAATGAAGGATTGCATAAGTATCGCCACTTGATGTTTTATTTTACGACCTCACTCTATCGCTTCCACCATCTATACTTAAATTTTCATCAATCGATCTATAGATATGTACATAGTTACACGTTCACAAGACTTACTTAGAATGTAACCGCTGAAGATTTACGAGTACATTTGTAGTAATTTGCTGTAGTAATTAAATACGAAGTGAATGGTATATTAAGTAAGTAACAATATATCATTGGAACTTTCACCGATCACAATGATCCAGGAACCAAAATTCGATACCGGATATCGATTTCCATGGAAAGCCGCGTTTCTTCGTTTGCAGAAACATGATCAGTTTGTGGTAACAATGACACCGATGAAAACTCTCCTAGCTTAACCGTTCGACACGTTTTAAAGCAGCTCAAATGACTGGTAATTATTCGATCAATCGTTCCAGCCATTTTATTACACTATTTTAGGTTGACCAACAAAGTAAGTCCTGGTTTTGTTGCAATGTAACGTGAGTAAATATGCAAATATAATAATTTCACGAATGAAAATGAAATCTGGAAGTAGACGTTTCGATCTACGACCAAATTCAGGCATCAGTTAAAAAATAATTCACATAAAACCACACTGTAGATTACAGAAGTGCTTAACTTATCAAAAATCATTTACATAAACTAGATTACATAAGTCGAAAATTCCAAAAAATCTTTAGCAAAAAGAATATTACTCAACAACATTCACTGCGATCGAATGCAAAAGTAACTAATACGTAACAAGATTTCTTGTCACGTGATGAAGGTAGAACGGAACCTGCTGTAACGATCGTAAAATTGTACATTTTTACACGCAAAATATCCTCAGGTATAAATCAGATCCAGTCACGTGAGCAGTACACCACAAACGGTTTTACACCGTGAAAAAAATTCGATACAAATCAATATTACGAATTCTGCTTTTCAACGGTACCCGCTGAATTATCGCGCGTTGCATTTAAAGGAAACCGTTTCTCGTTGTCTGGTAACGCCGACTAATCGCGATCGAACGCGAACGAGTGATTGTAAGAGAGAAAGGTCCCGTTTTTTCCGACGAAATTCTTCTGTGCCGGCGCACTCAAGGCACAGGATACATGGTCAACATCACGAAACGATTTGCATCTTGATTTATAGGGCTGCTTTGACGCATTGGCGTCGAAATAGCCGCGGTTGCGTATATTTTTATTCGTAACGATTATCATTCGGCCTCCCTTTTCGTTGGCAATTTGCGATGGAAAGCGTTACTTTGTATAGTTGGTCGAGGAAATATAAAGAGGATATAAATTACAGTATTAAGTGCGGACACTAATTGATTCACGTTTTTCGATTGGGATTCTATCAAAGTTAAAGCATACTTCATGCAGGATTGACTGAGATTTTGTGCTTTTATCTTCTTAGATTTCTGAAGATTCGCTTGTCGATATGTAAACTTTGCTACCTGATAGGTTTTACGACCTTACAGTATTTCTTCCACCGACTGCACCTCCACAATTCATAGTGTACTAAACAGTCTCACTCTTATATTATATATTTCCTTTCTTCTTTAGAGAGAAAAGAATAGATCACTGTGTGCACAATGACAGAAAAATTTGTACCTGATGCACCCAAAAATCCAAAGAAAAATAAATCTACCATATTTTCTTTCTTCTTTAAAAAAAAAAGAGAATGGATCCCTAACAGTCTATGTACACAGTGACAAAAAACTTTAGACCTGGTGCACTCAGAAATCCAAAGAAAAATCAATCTACAATATTTCCTTTCTTCCTTACAAAAAGGACAATGAATCCCTAACAGTCTATACACACACTGACAAACAAATCCCCACCTAACCTCTCGAAAAACCCAATATAAGGCAGGAACACGAATAAATGAATCACTCCCACTTAAATTGAATTAATTTAATCCTAAATATCTACAACTCTCAACTCTACATTAGACTAAGTGCTTGGCTGGCACCGCAGCCAATCGTTCCCTGCATGTAATCAGGGAAGTTCGATTCGAGCACTCGCATCCTTCCTCTCTTGTAATCAGCAACAACATGAGTGGCAAGGGAACATTCCGCGCTGGTATACACCTGTTGGAAGCATTTTGGATCGAAAGGAAGGGTAGCGTCCCATCTGTAAACGTCTGATTCGCCTTCGTAGCGGAAGAAAAGGGCGCTTCCATTGTCCGTACCCAAAAACACCATCTTCCTCGGTTTCAATCCAAGATCGTGGATCTTCCCATTCGTTGAACCGTTCCGTAAGTGTTGGGTCCTGATGGAAAATATACGGCTGCTGCTCAGGTAGGTGAAGATGAGACATGTACTTCCGTCTGAACGTCGGAGAAGGGCGAGGTACAAAACGTCTCTTCTTGTGCATCCTATGGCGACAGCTTGCGGCAAGACGACGCGATAACCGCGTCCCGATGTCACATCGTAGACGAGGATGGCCCTTGTGGCAGCGTCTGACACGTAGATGAACACCCTCCCGTCCTGGCTGTAGTCCGACACCACGTATTGGAGGCGAGACGTGGCCGTCGTCAGGCCTGTTAACTCCACGGTCTTCACCAGCTGCGGGAGAAATGAGGAGGCGAGTGAGTAAGGGCTGCGATTCCAAGTGATACTGTGTATTAGTATTTCAGAGGGGAGGAACTGTGATTTTGAGGATTGTGTTGTGTTGATGCTGGAAGGAATTGCTATAGGAAATGAAATTTTTTGAAACTGACGTGGAAACAAATGGGGAAATTTTGTTTCAATATTTAACCCTGTCGGTAGGGTAGATTTTAATTCGTAACTAACTTTAATGCAGAATTTGCTATTTTGGGAGTATCGTTTTGAAATTTGATTTATTTAATTAAGGTGGAAGTGTGTAAGGGATAGAATTAATTAAGTATTAAATTAAGGTGGAAGTGCGACAATAGTAATGAAAGGGTTGAAAGTGACACTTTGTCGCTTTGAGTTTCGTGGAAATTCGCGATGGTGAAGTCTGCAAATTTGGGTGAGAGGATAGACTTGACACTTTCGGTGCCACGGACGCGGTATATGAATTTCAGAATGTGATACCCTGCGTGCCAACGTCGACAGAGTGTCGGTGAGACACATAGAGTCTATTTCACGTGGAGGCAAAGTGTGTATGTGTGCATACTTGGCTGAAATTGCGAATTAGTAGCACACGGCGAGAAGAGAATATTATTTGAATCAAGAATGAGACTTGACACTTTCGATGCCACGGACGCAGCAGATGCGGCTCGTAATGGGTTACCCTGCGTGTCAGCGTCGACAGAGTGTCGGTCGAGCGCATATGCAATAGACTACTATCCTGAATTCTCTGTTAAACGTCGAGTCTGTGTTTGTATTCTTGGTTGAGACTACGATTTGGTGGCACATGGCCAGCCCCTAACAATTTTCAAATGATAGTGAAAGTGTTAATATGACAACCATGGATCGTAGAGTGTACACAGATTAATAAGGAAAGGTGAAATAATTTTCGAGACATTAGCAAGTGATACAAAGCAAAGTATTAATGCTAATGTGTAGTCGGTGTTTACTAATTTGATGAAAATACTATTTTTATGAAAAATGAGACTTGATACATCGACCATGAATCGTAGAAGATTCACAGATTCACAAGGAAAGGTGAAATAATTTTCCAGACATCAGCAAGCGGTACAGAGCAAAGTATTAATGCAGATGTGTGGTCAATGACTAATGGTTCGATTGAAAGATGATGTCTATCTAGGTGAAGGGCGCAGACAGCTCGACCCGTTTTATTCAACCGTGTTCCGCAGCTTGAGAGGCTTTCCACACTTCGTTTCTGTTCACTTTCCTACAAAATTGCTGACTAATCTCCACGCGAACATAGTTGCATTTAACAAGGAAACGCGAAGAGAGTAAAATTGCCGACTGTGTTTCTACCTCGATATTAAAATCATCATCGTCTGGTATCGCTGATACATGCATATTACCTGCCCTTAGGTTACAAAACAACCACGAATGGAACGTGACCGTAGAGGTAATACGGATCTAATAGAAATCACGATCGAACGGCCAGTGCAGTGATTGAAACGTGAACGCTATCGTCCGTTACTTCGTTTAAACCGCGGTTATATGTAGTTGAAAGGATAATGGCTGCGCCATACATCGTACGTGACAGTACAGAATATTAAATGTAATTTTTTGGCAATTCATCTGATATATTATGAAATTAAATTAATCTACGATGATGAAATTAAATTACGGAAAAATATTGTGCGACCCAACCGGGAATCGAACCCGGGACCTTTGGATTAGAAAGCCGAGGCTTTGCGCGCTACGCCAACCACTCCCTCTATATTGTCCCGTGTCGGTTTCCTATTTTAGTGTACGGAGGCCCCCTGGTACTACAATACTAATAAGTAAATATTGTTCAAATAATATCGTGTTCGATCTCATTTTCATCGGAAAAATCTCACCGACGTATTGAAAAGAAATTTCAGATAAAAAAGAGTAAAATTAAAAAAGTTATATTATTCTATTATGAACTGTCGAGCAGTGAAATCTCGTAAAAGAAACCGGATGGTGCAGCGTTACACGCTTGAATGGCAGCGAGCGAGATAACATAGGCGCAGCAATGACGTAGACCCAGGCGTAGGAGCATCTATGTGGTCAACTAACCCTCAGCCGTCCCTCGTGTCAATTTGACACATTTTTCCGGTAAAAAATTATATCATTCTATATTTAATAAAAGAATTTAAAAAATTAATTGTTTATATTTTCGTTTCATTGATTTTTTACCATTGTGTCAAATTAACACCGAGGGACCTATTAAGACGCGAAACTGAGGGACGGATGAGGGTTAAAGAATCCAAACTAGCGGTCAATAAGAGAGACATTGCTGTATTATAAAGTGAACGTCGTGACAATCTCGGGTGTAATCGGTGATTTATGCCGGCTCGATAAACTTGAAACGCAGTTTTTCTTTTTTCAATTTCAACCCTATAATTTTGTACGCGATAACGCAACGCAATTAACGCAATCACGTAACGAAGTTCTCATTCACCTTTGCGAGAACTTGGCTATTGTGGAAAAATTTCATACACGCCACGGTTGAACGGATTGGAAAAAACTATTCTTCGCGGGAAAGTAAAGTGGCTGTTGTTTTACGATCTCATTCTCGGCCTTTGATTATTTAACACGCGTGTTTTGCAACGCTCTGTGTAACGCGATTTGTGGAGATTTGTCGTCGGAAAATGGTATTAGGTGTAGAAATTGGTTCTTTCTGATTTGATTTGAAAAAGTGAAAACTGATCACTCGTCGAAATAATTTTCACTATTTTCGCCATTTTCCTGACAGCCTGAGAATACCGTCGCGATAGAAATAAGGTGGCTTTGAATCGATTTGGTGAATCCAGGCGGAGAGAATTTATTTCTATCTGATATTTATGAAAAATGAAAAAAATATTTTGGAATATTATGAAAAGTGAAAGAAAAAATTGGAATATTATGAAAAGTGAAAAGAAAATTTGGAATATTATGAAAAATGAAAGAAATATTATGAAAAATGAGAAAAATATTTCGGAACATTATGATAAATGAAAAGAAAATTTGGAAAATTATGAAAAACGGAAAAAATATTTTGGAATATTGTGAGAAATGAAAAAAATACTTTGGAATATTATGAAAAACGAAAATAAAATTTTAGAATATTATGAAAAATGAGATAAAAATTGAACCGACGATATCTCCATTGTGTCACAAGATGCACAGTGTGTTTCATAGAAGAGAACAACACTCACCTTTCCAGTGCTCACGTTGATGGCCAAGACTTTCGGTGGACACTTGCGAGTAGGTTCGTCCAAAGTGTTCACCACACCGGTATCGAGGACCCAGAGGATGTTCTGAGGATCCAGGTAAATATCTACCACGTTCTGCAGCGCTGTACAGGTTCCTTCTTCCTGAAGGGACCAGCAAGGATAAGGGACCAGGGTCGCCTCGCAGCTCTTGTTCTCTCGAGAAATTTTGGCCAATGTCGCTGGAACACCGGGCTTAAACCTGTATTGAAAACCAGTTTTCATGATAATGAGAAGGATAAAGCAAAAGAATACTCATTTTCTACTGAGTCACTGAACACCTTCGCAAAATTTTAATTGTAAAAATTCAACCTGTTGATCTACAGGGTGTTTCAATAATATGGATGCAAGATGACACGATATATCATACTAATAAATGCATTTTCTTTTCAAACTCTCTCCAATTATTGTGAAATTGTGATTCCCGATATTCCAATTATTAAATCGTTCACAATTATTATCGATGTATTCCAGAAATTTTAGAAAAAATTACAGAGTGCTTCAAAAATAATGTCGACACTCGTACGAAGCATTTGTATTTTCTATCTTGTTCCCTTTTTATCTTTTATCTTATTCATTGTCTATTCAATACGACGTTAAATTTTGTAAATAAAGTTTCGTTTATTTTTCTACCTGGGCAGAGCCAAAATGGCGTCGTCGTTGTAGATGGCAGCTCTAGTCGCTATCACGTTCTTCGAAATGTATTTCCCGCTGCTTTTGAACATGTTCTTCGTGGTTGGACAAGGCCATTCAAAAGTTCCACCTGTCCATTTCACGTTTCCATCGAGAGACGCCTTTCCGCTGTTGACTAAGGCGAGGACAATCACGATGATCGTCAACGTGAACGAAGATATAAATTTCACTTTGTGCAACATCGTGTCCCTCGTGGAATCGCTGTCAATCGAACTTGAATTTCAACTGAAGAGTCTTTAAAATTACACCAGTTATATACGACGTTGCTCTGTGACGAAATACGGTAGTTTGTTGAAATATTTGCTGTTTCGTTTAATCGTTCCGCGTTCCGTTGTCCCTTTACTTTAGCTTGTACACTTTGAGGACGGAAATATCGAGATGAAGATGGAGAAATGAACTGTTACACAAAATTAACATTATCGAAGTGATAATTATTAATTTTACAGCTCAATCAGTTACGTATAATTTAATGTCATTTTTCAAATGTGAGTATAATGTACAGATGTTTGTTGTTGAGTTTAATTTTTCGATGCAGTTGTGTTGAGTAGTTTTTTATAAAATGGTAAAGGAGTGGTGTTAATTAATTATTGCGAATTATTAATCGTTATAAAAATTATACGTCTTGCGGATATACTTCCTGAAGGTTCGGTTGTTTGGTAAACAAGATGGAGAACACGTTTCCTTGTTGCTCTCCGGACGTCGTACAGTCTTGTTAAAGCGGAAGCGTTGCGACAGACGGAAGAGAATGTTAATTTATAAATACAGAAAATATGCACGATCGATCAATGATGGAATTGTCCGGTCACGTTCGTATATAAGCGTACAGTGGAATATAAGATTCGCATATTAAAGCTTTCGTGTCCATTCAGAAGTTAAACAGGCGTAAGTTACTTGTACTAATTATTCTTATCACGGAATTAATTAATATCTCGAAGATATTAGTCATCCTCCTCTCGGTGAATGGTTAAATTTACTCAAATTTACCCTAATTAATAATTTAAAGAAATTCATCACTCTTTGAAAAATTATTGGTCACTCTCCTATCAAAATGAGTTGATATCTCAAAAATAGTTAAACACTCTCTCCTCGATAAATATTTGAATTTACTCAAATTTGCCGTAATTAATAATTTAAGAATAAAATTAATCTCTCTCCTTTCAAAAATTATGAATCACTCTCCTCTCAAAAGTATGTAACTAATATCTCAAAAATAATTATTTACTCTCCCCTCGATAAACAATCAAATTTACTCAAATTCACCCTAATTAATATTGAAAAAAAATTGATCTCTCTTCACTTTCCCCTCAAAAGTATGTAACTAATATCTCAAAAATAGTTAATCACTCTCCCTTCAATAAATAATTAAATTTACTTAAATTCACTCTAATTAATAATTTTTTCTAAATTACTCACTCCCCTCTCAAAAATAATTCCCAACTTATTCTCCAACATTCAATGCTCTTTTTTTCAGTCTCCCAAACAATTGGTCTACGCCAAGCGACACGATGAAGAGACATCTAAGCACCGTTCTCTGTCTAATATCTCTAGCAAGGAATCTACCACTAGTTTACGGCAATCCAGTGCTACCGCAACCACTGGTTCTCTCAGGACTCAGTCTAAACTGGCCCTGTCAAAGCACGAAAAACATCTACGAGACCAGCGGACGTTACATCTCCAGAAACGTGATCGCAACCAGGGCTCAGATATACAAAGACGAAGCGATTTTAGCTCTACCACGTTACAAACCAGGTGTACCCTTCACATTGGGCGTTGTCTCCCTGAAATCACAAAGCTGCGAGCCAAAGATAACTCCTTTCCCCTGTTGGGCTATCCAAGAAGAAGGAAACTGTCAAGCTCTACAAAGCGCTGTCGATATCACGTTGGATATGCAAGGAATCCTCTGGGTCCTCGACGTTGGTATCGTCAACACTCTGGAGCAACCTGTGCGCAGGTGTCCTCCTAAGGTCGTTGGAATAAACGTTAAGGATGGAAAGGTGAGCGGTAGAGCTATGGAGCATTGATCTAGATTGGAGATTATGCAAAAGCTGGATCAGCCTTGAGATTATCTAGAGGTAGAACTTCGGTTTATTGCGAGGTAACGCAAGAGCAGGATTGATTAAACGGAGGATCTGGTAAAGGTAGAATTCTGGTTGAATGTAGAAGTTTGTTCGATTAATGTAGAATCTGTTCAAGGTAGAATTCTGGTTAGATATGGAATTTCTTGTTGAACGAGTTAAACTAAAATTGAGATTAATTGAATGTAGGTTCTTGGATTAGTGTAGAATCTGTTAATGGTAGAATGTTCTTGGATTAATCTGTTAAAGGTAAAATTTTCTTGAATTAATGTAAAATCTGTTAAAGGTAGAATTTTCTTTGATTAACACAGAATTCCTTGAAAGTAGAACTCCTATTTTTTATGAGTTGAACTAAAATCAGGATTAATTAAAAATAGGTTCTTAGATGAACATAGAATCTGTTAAAGGTAGAATTCGGTAGAATAAAGGTAGAAACATAAAATCTCCTAAAACTAGATCCTCAAAATCTCTCAAAAGTCTACTTCACTTTGACTTTAAATCTCCAGTTAATTCAGCCAAAGTTGAATCTCCAAAAAAAGGTCACCAAACACAAACCTTCCATCTACCCAAGAAATCCTCAAGATGCAAATTTTAAGTCACTCAAAAATTTCTATAGCACAACAATTAATTTGCAAATTTTAAGTCACTCAAAAATCTCTATAACACAACAATCAATTTGCAATTGATTAATTTTCTAATCCCAATTTCAGGTTGTAAAAGTGATCGATTTGAGTACCCTAGTAGACATTTCCTCCCGTCTGCAATACATGGCCGTGGACTACACGCAAGATGGCCAGGTTTACGTGTACATCTCCGACGCTGGTACCGGTGCTATAATCGTCTACAACGCTACAACTGATCGTGGATATCGCGTGGTCCTGCCACCAGCAGTGACTTCAGGTTTGAACAAACCTGACGCGTTGTACATTGCTCTGGTGAGAAGACAGAGCTGTGGTACTCCAGTTCTATACTTCACTTACCTAAACTCGAACAGAATGTTCGCCATTAAAGCTGCGAACCTGAGATCCGGAAACGCGAACGGTTCCATAGTGGACATTGGTGGAAAGAGGAACAAGATTGTGATACTTGGAACCGACAACGGTTCCGCCATCTTCTTCAGAATTAAGGGTAAGGAAATTTTAAGGAATTAAAGTAGTTCGATTTTAGAATTCAGTTTTGGGAGTTCCGCCATTCTCTTCGGAATTAAGGCTCAGGAGATTCTGAAGAATGACAAATTAAAATTTAACTCTTTTAAATTTTCAAAGAGTTTCATTTCTAGGGTGCGCCATCTTCTTTGGAATTAAGGCTAAAGAAATTCTAAAGAATGAAATTTAAAAAATTACCTCTTTTAAATTTTGACAGAGTTTGATATCGAGGGTCCGCCATTTTCTTCGGAATAAGGGCTAAAGAAATTCTGAAGAATGAAATTTTAAAAGTTAACTCGTTTAAATTTTGAGAGTTCCGCCATCTTCTTCAAAATTGAACCTAAGGAAATTCTAAAGAATGAAATTTTAAAAGTTGCCTTCTTTAAAGTTTGAAAATGTTTAATTTCTAAAGAGTTTAATCTTCTTCGGAATTAAGGTTAAGAAAATTCTGAAGAATGAAATTTAAAAAATTACCTCTTTTAAATTTTGAAGGAGTTTAATTTCGAGGGTCCGCCATCTTCTCCGGAATTAAGGCCAAGAAAATTCTGAAGAATGAAATTTTAAAAATTACCTCTTAAATTTTGAGGGTTCCGCCATCTTCTTCAAAATTAGGGCTAAGGAAACTCTAAAGAATGAAATTCCAAAAGTTAACTTCTTTAAATTTTCAAAGAGTTTAATTTTAGACTTTAATTCTGAGATTAAGCATAAGTGTTGTTCTTTTGTGTCCTACTTTTAGGAGACTCGAATATCTATATGTGGAACACCGACACTCCCTTCGTCAAGGATAACTTCCTGTTAGTGGAGAAGGCTGGAGAATGCCGGCTACCAACTGCAGTTATTCCTGGATACAAGGGACTGATGTGGGTGATCGAGAGTAACTTCCAAGATTATATCGAGAACTCTGTCAGCTGTTCTGGAGCTTCAGTCGCTCTCCATCCTCTCTTGAACTCTTGCGAGGATTCGTATTAGAAATTCGAAGCAACTTAATCAAGAATATTCATATTTACGATATACGTTCTTGATTAAAATTATTAACCATTTGGGTATTGTAGAATGTTGATTTACATCGTGACACTTTGAAAGTAAATTTGAAAGGAAGTAGAAATTAATCGCGAATACAGTGCTCGAAGGGTTAATCTAGTCATGAAGAAAGATCGAATCTGGACAAATATCAACCAGTGTCAGATAGGAAGCTTCAACGACCACTTTTTGCAAATGGTCGATGAGAATGAAACAAAACGTGTGTACTATTATTGTAACACTTATGTAGACGAATAAATTCGTCCTTAATTAAATAGAAGTTCCTTTCTGTCCCTTCCATTATTTTATCACGAAAAATTGCGGTAGAAAGTGCCTGTTCAACGACGAATATAAGACACGCGGGATGAAAGGTATAGTCGGTGGAAGCGATGTAATGACTGTAAATTAAAGAATTAAATGGCGACTCAGAATTGATATCTGAAATTTCTGCTTACAATTTGAAATATATTATAAATATATTTTTTATTTAAAATATGCAGAATTAAGCCTTAAAAAAAAACTTAACCTGAAGACTCAGGTTAATTAAGGCTCACGATTAAGTCTCAGACTTAACGATCAAGGCTCAGGCAAATTGCTATTTTATTTCGACGACCTCGCTATATCTCTTCCACCGACTATACAAGGGAAAGTCGAATGGAACGTGTTCAGACGGTACGCAATTAAATCGTTAATCGATAGAGAAAAATCCTTTAATCATAATTAATACCTAAGCTCGGCGTTTCGCTTAATCGTTGTGCAGCCATGGATTTTCAATGATCGTTACCTAACGAGTGGCTTAATTTGCCCGGGGATACGGTTATCAGTTATACGAGTCAAACAAATCTTCGATATCGATCTTGTTCATGACAGTGGCAGACATAAACGCGGGTTGTATAATAAATTCTGACAAGAAGTGTCTCCGTTATTAAACACGCCACTCGTTCTTACCACTTTCCAACACTTTATTCTCCCCTTCATTTCGATACGAATTTCAGGGAATCAAAGAAACATAATCCCATGAAAACTGAAATTAATTCAACGACACGATTAATAGAGAGAAAGTGTCGCGTTTAATCTCTCGTCGAAGGTGAAATATTAGAAATCGAGTGTCAGCCTTTTATGTAAAAGGGTTGATGGCTGACATTTTCCTCAAAGTAGGTTTTCACAGTTCAGTAATCGCTGTTTCCGATAAATTAATGCGATACTTATATAATGAAAAGTGGACTAGTTAATCAACGACTAGTCGAAGAGGAATTTTAACAACTTTCTAATGCAAAAATTGAATTATTAAAAATCGCCATTTTTCACAAAGTATGAAAGTGAATTAAACCTATTTAATGTTAATTTCACAAAGATGGATATTTTCCAATTTAAATAGTCCTCGAGTTAAGATGAATTTCTGAGAAAGAATCATTCCTATCAAGAGGAATTTTAACAACTTTCTAATGCAAAAATTGAATTATTAAAAATCGCCATTTTTCACCAAGTATGAAAGCGAATAAATCCTATTAAATACAAATTTAAATATATTTAGACCTAATCAATGTTAATTTCACAAAGACGAATATTTTCCAATTTTAACAGTCCTCGATTTAAGATGAATTTCCGATAACGAATGATTCGTATCAAATGGACACCGTGTATTTACCAGACCCCATAAATTCTTCTGACCATCCATCGCGTAATCGCTTATACAAGGGCAATTTTCATTCTGCACAAGCACCGTGTGACTCTCGGCCTGGAAATAAAAGACGCTTTTTCCAAAAATCTCGATTTACGACGTCGAAGAAGGTTCGTTCGAGCTTGAAAAAGGGACCGAATGTGATTACTTTTAGCGGAAGTTTCGTGTCCCAACGGACGCTGGCTCTCTCCGAGGACATGAAATAGTGGAGACCATCGTTGACGTCACAGAAAAGCCCGGAGGAGGCGCCCATTTTGGTACCGTGCCAGACAACCGTTACATTTCGCCATTTTTGCTATCACGAGAACAGATAAGATTCCGGAATTAATTCGCGAGTGGAGAGAAGAAAAAAAAAGGTTTTTACATATTTATAGCGGGAAATTTAAATATCGACCTAGAGTGAGGTTATATTTGAGTTACGAGATAAATTGGGTAATTACTACGTACATCGCTGCAAGGATAGCTATTCCGTTCGTTCCACATTTCTTCCAGATTTACACTGAACAAATCGAGAGTTTCAGATCCTGTCACGTACAACACAGAGTTTTTCTTAGAAATGGCTAAATCGGTGCTGAAGACACGCGGTACTTCCGGTCCGCGAATCATCCTTATTCTCCACCATCTTTCTTTCTCTGAAAAAAGATTCTCGTGGAAATTGCTGAAATTATAATTGACTTTAAAATTGTTCGTTTTTTTTTGGCTCGTTCACCTGGTACGAATGCTATAATTGATTCGTCTCCAGGATCTCCTACGTATCCTCTATATCCTGAGGAATCAACCACTAGGGATCTCAAGTTTTTCACTGGAACTTTGGTTAGATCAGTCGAAGATACCTTCAAAAAAATTTGATTAAGTTTTAAGTCTGAAAATTTAAAAATTTGTTTTTTTTTTGGTGTTTATTTTTTACCAATTGGTTGTTTCTTTTCAAATTGTAAATTACGATCCTGGCTGAACAATCGGATTTGTCCGGCACTTGCAGCAACCATAAACGCCCTCGAATATCAATATCCAATTCGACGACTGTTCGAAAACAGCCATCGTTTATGCGTTTATTATGCAAAGCGGAGAATACTTTGCTAGTTTTCACCAGTGGAAAACTCGATTCCGGCCAAATTGCTTCGAAAAGTGTCCTCGTGTTTTCCAAAGTGTCATTTTGTTGCCATCTTGACGTCACAATAAAATAATTTTTTTTCTGCTTAATTTGCTTTTCGTTTCACTCTCGACACAAAATAACATCTTTGCAAAACATTGGTAAGCGGTTGAAGGTAAATAAAAATACGATACCTCGGAATCGCCAGGAAGGCACGATTTCGCCAAACAGCGAATTTCCAAATAAAAACGTGTTCCGGTAGGTTCGCGGTTGCGAACTGCCAACAAGTAGTTATTCGCGGAATGCAAACAAACACCAGGAGGAACATTATCGCGTTGTAAAAAGCGAAGGCTACGAAACGACGAGGAGCGAGCATGGCGAAAATCTACACGAGTGAGGCATTTGAAATTTTTGCGGATCGATCGACGTGCTGAGATCGTATCGCTTTCCACAGCGAGTCAGCAGAAGTTAAAGTATTCACGAATCAGCGTTCTATGAAATTCCACAGATACCGGGAATGTGTTACGAATTTTTCAATTATTTTTTAATTATCTGAAAAAACTTACTTCGGAAAAAAAGTGAAACAATAAATTACGAATGTCAAACAATATTAATATTCTATTTCATAGATCATTTTGGAAGAGTACTATGTATTTTAAGTTTTTATAAATGTTCAATGGCTAATGTTTTTGAAAATATAAAAATCTTTTTTTTAGAATTGGGCTCCACTTTTTTACCGTCAATTCGCGTAATTTACCGTATTAATCGTCGGTTAGAACGCGCTCTACTGTACCGACCGCGTTCGAAATAACGGTCAGACGTGAAAGAGCGCGCGTGGATCGCGCGCGCAACGCGCCCTCCCGCCAATAATTTCGCATAGTCTATGGTCGAAGCATCATGAAATCGTGGAAGCCCGTGATAAAGGCAAATGGCCGCTGTAGTTTACGAGAGCGGGTTACGCGTATGACGTTTTTCCGCGGGCTGTTTCTGACGTACGGCATGTAAAAGACGCGCGGGTCGAGCGATCGTGGAAAAAGCGTGATGTGAACGGCAAGCGGAGGCTTGAACGGTGTTATCCGTGGCCGGCGATGGACGCTGAGAAGGCTAGTGCGGTGATGAAATCGGTGTCGGAGGGTGAGCTGGGCGTGGAAGAGGTTAAATTATCAGAATCGAGAACACGAGATTCCGCATCGCGTTTAAAACGCACGTTCACATTACCGAGGAATCCATTTCAAAGTGCCAGCAGCAGGATGTCGCGACGACGTCCCAAGCAGAATCGCGAGTCGAAAGACGGCGGCAGCGCGGCCACCACTAAAGACAGAAACAATATGCAGCAACATCAACAGCAAGTGGAAAGCATGCAGCAGAATATAGGCCGATTACACAGCAGTCAAAGCTACCCGGAGAGACCAGGTGTTAAGAAAGTATTCCGTAGACCGTCCTGGAAGAAGTTCATCAACAAGATGGTACAGCACATGTCGAACGTGGGCACGCAGAATCATAAAACTTCTCACAGGGACGATCTTGGGTCCAGTGCTGGTGATATTAGGGTGCCTCCACCTAGGCCGGCTCATATACCGCCTGACAGAGTACCTGGGGTTATAGGTTTACGCAATCACGGTAACACGTGTTTCATGAACGCCGTGTTGCAGTGTCTGTCGCATACGGACATACTCGCGGAATACTTTGTGCTGGACCAGTACAAGGTCGATCTGTCTAGAAGGAATAAATTGAACTCGAAAAAATATGGGACTAAGGGGGAGATCACGGAACAGTTGGCCCTTCTGTTGAAGGCCATCTGGAGCTGCCAATATGACCCAGAGATCGACAAATACGGAAGTCAGTATCGCGGGAACTTGCAGCATGACGCTCAGGAATTCTTACTGTGGCTGTTGGACAAAGTGCACGAGGACTTGAATCAAGCTACCAAAAAGAAGTATAAAATCATCAAGGTGAGAAAGAAAGATCGGAATTATTTCTTACGGTTATACCGCATAATGCAATTATCTCTCCCTTCCTTCGCATCTCTCTGTCTCTTTTCCTCTGTCGCGTTGCACGTAATGAACAGGTTTGTAATCATTTGTGGCAATTGATTATGTAATACGGATGATGGTTAGTCAGTTACGTTAATTTGTTAATTCGTTAATTTTCGTCTGGTTTTCTGTGACCGCGGGAGAAGTTTCTGAATTCGCAAACGCACGGAATATTCGCGTGGATTCCAGATGCTTTTAAGTGTTCTTCGCACTTTTGCTTATGTGTGCGTTGTAAGGAGGTATGGTTATACGAGGATAAAAGCCTTGAGTGAATTTTATTTATTACTTGGAGAAACAGAGAAGCCAGTCGATCGCGCGGTCGTGATCAGGCCTTAACCTAAATTTGTTCCACACTCGAAAAGTACGTGCCATGCTTTTCGAACGATCCCATTGAAATCCTGACGGATCCGCGGGAAAGTGAGCATTCCGAAAGAAACAAAGGGCGAATGGAAATCGTGCATTTACCGCGCTGTGCATATGCTTTGAAAGTGGGAAGGGTTGAGAACATTACACTTATTCTGATTTCGTTTTAAATCGCATTCACGTGATATTGTTCAGATAAATTACTTCATTTTTATTTTTGTACGTCTTACGATGAATTTTTTTTTTTTTTAATCTTATAAAACTTAAAAGCGTTTAATTAACGATACGTATATCGGTGAACGTGAAGAGGCAGCAATGTAATATTTATTTATCGATTATGAGTTACAAGTGCTTTGACGGAGAAAAATTTCGATTTCCCATTTCCCAGACTTTTGATAATTGGTAAATCATAAATGTTATCGATATCTGATAATTAATCTCCGAATTGACGTGTTGCGCGAGCGATAATTACAAAAAATTGATACAATAGCTATCTTTTATGATCGCTTACGTAAAAATGGTATTACAACACGTTACCGAATTTTTAAACATTTAACAATATCGCGCAATCGCTCTTATTAAACAATAGCGTATATCGCACGTTTTAACCGAAAGAGGAATGTTCGTTAAATATATAAACTGGCATTAGTATTTTGTGGCTAAAAATAGTTGGCACTCAATAAGCCGCGAACTTGACTAGTGGAGGATCGCTTTTTATGTCAATGCATCATATAGAAAGAGAAAGAGCGAGATGGATAGAGCAGAATAGAGACGAGACAAATTTTAGTTCGCTGATTCACCGCAACGAGATGCCCGCGAACGATAAGCTGACGTAACGGGAGAAAAAAGTGCGCATCACGCTCTCGCCAATTAATTATGTGTCCATTTTCCACGTGCTTTTTACGCACGATATTCGCGTGGCACGGTGCCATCGACTCGTGATCGATGACTTTTTTTTCTCGAGACACACTGTCGATCGTTTTGCCTGGGTTACGCGCGGCAGGCGCTGCTGCATTCCCTCTTGCCGGCCAGTTCGCAACGACGCGACCGCGATTACATGAACGGTGAGGTAAGAGACGAAGAAAAATGACTACAAACAGAATCGTGAATCATCCCGTGCGTCAAACAAAAAACAAACAGATCGCGCAAGACGGGAGCGTGAAAGGCGAGGAAAGCTGAAACAAAGCTTCTAATTATTCAAAGATTTTTTCCAAGCTTTATCAGCGCTAGGGGATTAATCGGCCGTCGGTATTTACTAACGCGTGCCTCCGTGATCGTACACGTGCAATTCCACGCTTTCGTAACAGAGAATACCTGTATGATTTGTATCGTGAAGTTCTTACAAAAGTTTTTTTTCTTTTTTTCTTTTTCCTCCTTAATGTAGCTGGGTAATAATGATTTCTGTTGGAGGATACGATACATTTTTGAAGCAATACATAGACGGGGACAACGGTAGGCGGACGAGTTTAATAAGTGATTCTCAATCCTGCGTTGTTTCCATTACTTCTTGCGTAATACCTGCAACTAATAGTTTTGTTAAGTACTGCATTATAACGCTCTTTATCGCAGTTTAGAAACATTATCTAATGAACGAACACAATTATACGTCGTTGTAAAGCAATAATTGTCGAAGCTATTTATATAACGCCTTTATTTAGAAATGCAGTTTCTTCGGGTATCTGTCGTATGGAATAACAACGGTTATTCATGGTAGAAGAGAAAACGTGAAATTATTCCGAGCGTTTCGCCTCCGAATATTTACTTCTTCTCTAGTGAGACTAATAACCGTCGGTGGTTAACTCGGTAAAATTTAATCGGTAATTATCTAAACAGGTGAATTTCCTTTTAATGTATGGATAAACTTTCTATTTTACGCTAAACACTCATTAAAATTCCATAGTCTGGTTTTTATGACTCTGTTATATTTCTATCCCTTCCCTCCTCCCACTTTCCCGCTGTTTCTTTTTTATATGTACTTCAAATTCGTTAAAGATATGAATTAAAGAAAAAGTAACGTAGTAATTTTCAAGTTGCATTACAAATTACCGTGTACAATATGAAATTACTAGGTTATGTATGCATATGTAGAAAAATTTCAAATAGAGAAAAGCTCGTGTATGTATGTACATCGAAACAGGTTTTCTACCCTAATGAGACATTTGCCCTTTTCCAAGTTTCTTATCTCATTTGTCTAGCCAGACGGTATGTACTCATCTTTCCTTTCTTTTTTCTCTTTCTCTTTCCCCCGAGCGATGCCATAGCCGCGACAAATGTTGCCGTTCGAAACGTTTGACACATTTACCATAACTTGTTACCGACTCGTCACATCTCGCCAACTCCGCTCTTCTCCCTCTCTCATTCGTACTTCATCCTCCGGGTACATGATTCCACTTGGTCCGTTATCTTATCAGCCATTTCTTGTACACCGTCGAAGTGTTTGCCGAGCATCAGATAAGGAAGCGATCTTCAGCGAGAGCAAGTCGATAATCCAGATCAGGAACCAACAATGTCCGACGTGTCGCCCCTGTGGCTTGTTAAACTCGCTGCTCGTGCCACTTTTTCGTAACCAGTTTTTTCCTCAAGTGCCCTTCGTCGGTCACGATGACCGACTTCTTCGAAACCGGTCATTGAAACGCCTTGAAAATTCGAAGATGCTCAACGGGAAACATTAAATGCCTACTCTCAATAGAAAGTTACCACCCGCGTTCTTTTTATTGCCCGTCGAACCATACGTATTGAGATTAGTTCGCTATTTACGAGGCAGATCGTGCTTTCGTGTTTAACGATACATTTTTTCGGACGAAAGTAAAGAGAACAAAAATTTGATCGCGGTAAAATCTGCTTAACGTATCTATAAATCTTGTTCAGTTTGTATATTTCACGGGATAGGTAGGAGGAGAAAACTAGATCAGGGAAATACATATGTATTTATATACGTGTATGTTTATACATATGCAACGCAGCAATACCGAATGAATCGACACCTTGGAAAGTATCCCAGACAGGTTCGACGCTTCTCAAAATGCATGGAGCCGCTCGAGCACGTGCTAAACGATGGTGCCACGTATTGTTGACCTTCCGATAAGATCGTTAGCTCTTGTCCTTTTAAAATTAGGATACTCGTCAAGATACTACATGCTGCTGACGTTATAATTTATCATAAATTGAGGCGTTACGAAACGAAACACATCAAACATCATTAGCATAGGGAAAAGTGAGTGCGTGTATAGGTTAGGCGAGTACGAATATAACCTTCGAAACTGTGTGCGTGCTAACCATGCCGTGTAACGAAGTGAATTTATTCTAACCTCATTTCCATAACTAAATACATCATTAAGTCGTATTTGCTGAACAACATTGTATATAATTAAACGTTTAAATTTAATTAACCGTCGCTTTCCTCTAATTATAACCAATTGTACTCTCGATCGATCAAACAGTTCATTGTGCTCTCGTTACACAGATTCCATGGATTACCCGTAAATATCTTTATCGTCTGTACACCAGTATTTACCAGCTTATTCTGTGGTATTTGTAAAATCGTGCCGCTCGAGGTGTCCGTGAGCAAACACCACGTGTCCTTAGTCAATCATTTTACGATTCTCATTATCGATGTCTCTGTTATCGTCCCCGGTTTTGTTTTTTCTTTTTTCTCGAACATTCATTACACGTTTCGTTCACGGCAATAGAATTCACCAACGTCCTTCGCCGTATTGTTATTGAACAGGTCTCAAATGAGATGAAAGGAGACGGGTGGATCGTCAGAGGAGGTAGACGTTTAAATTCGAAACACCGTGACGACGCGTTTCATGAAAAGCCACCTTCAACGAGACCTTGCAACGCGACACGCGTTTTTTTAGCGCGAGAGGTCGTCTCGCTCTGGCGATCAGAAAAAAAAACCCAAAGGAAAATTTATGCGTCTTAATGTAAAATCATTTATATTCTTATCTCAATAGTTACCGTTACAAGAATTTACGTACTAACGATTATTTTTTGCTATCATAAATTTCGAAAGTGTTTATCTGTATCTGATAGGTTCCGTTTGGTTATAGGAATCGATTATCGATGGTATAAACGTGTAAGCACTGTTTTTCTTCGTACAGAGTTGATATTGAATGGAATGTACGATAAGAAGAGTTACGCAGAAAAAGAAAAAGGAAAATGATAAATGCATCGGGACTCGTCAACGTATCATTCAAATATTTGTTGTTAAACAAAGATCAGAATCGTGTGTATCCGCCTTTCGAATATCCGTTGGCGCCAAAATAGCCTTTTTCTCCCGTAAATAAACTCGTATTTTTGCACTTGAAAATGGAAACGGCAGATCGATAAGTGTATGTGAGGTTACCGGAGTGTTCAGCGCCATTGTAAATCTCCTGCTGACTTTCGCAAACGTTCAGTTTGCTTCGTCGGTTTGACGTTGAAAAATTTCTGCACACAATTCCCCCTTCGAAACACGAGAGAGTACAGTTACAGTTCGAGGCACGATTCTCTGGCGTTATTCTTGGCGCTTTGCTACATTTTGACAAATGTCTCTGTAATAAATTATTCTTACGTCGGAAGAGTCATTGAAATTTCAAACAAATTCATTTTATTTCTAACCTCTCACCTAGTAATATTTCTCTTAGTTGTTTTTTCAGTTTTATTTGTTTTCAACGATGAAAGTAGTGTTTTATTTCAGTTCCTAGGTTAAAATGTTATTCCGATATCCGTACAGTTGTCTGAGGAAAAGTTAAATTCAACGACATTGGACAGTGGCAGTACCGTAATAAGAATTGACCTTGAATGGGGTCACGAACCAGTCATCGTTCTAGAGCCACATTACAAAACACGGTCAACGTGACTTTTTATAGCTTCCATTGATCGATCGTTCTTTTTCAGTTTCACGGGTATTAATCCAGATTCTCCTTATCGCGATTTGGTTTTAATAACGAAGAAAATCATCTGAGTAACAAAGAAATTTTCTGACCTAGCTGATTCTCTATAGTAGAACGAGTCATTTCGTGGAACATGCAATATTAGTTGTCGGGTATATAAATACCCTTGGATTAACAGGTTAACCGGCGAGTCCAAATTTCAAGGCTAAAAAAACTGTCGCATTATTGTGTTTCACCGAGACACGTGACGTTCGTTGACTCTAATTCGCTTACCTGCTGATTCGTATATTTATTCGTCACTTTACAATGAAAAAATTCCTAAGATCATTTTAATTGGAAATGAAATATTTTGTCTGGCTTTTTAAAAAATTATCTTCTGTCGGTAACATAAAAATGTCATGGACACAACTCGTTCGAGTGTTTGTATTCTAACAGTAGACGCAGTCTAAAAAAGTTGAGGTTAGAAATCTTCTGTTCTTCCATATGAATGAATGAATCATTGTTTTCGTAAATACATACACGGATTTACGTTTCGCGAAGATCAATCGTTAGATGTAATTGTTAATCGTTTACGTAAGAATAAACAAGTGTGCAGAGCTCTAATTTCTTGGTTATGTTCTTAATTACGATGTCCCGTTTCTATGACGACCTTCGCATAGTGTTACGCACACTGAATCATAACATCGAATTAATTACTATTTCTACTCGTCTAATTATCGCTAATCAGAACTGGATGACCCTGAAGCTGTCTTTGCTTATTACCGAATCTAATTAACGAACGTCAGGTTCGCGATAAAACGAACAAGAAATAAAATCCATTAACACAATAATCTTTATCTTCTTTTTTCGATCATAACGTATTCTCTGTAGGACTGACGATAATATGACATTACCAAAAACATCGAATGTTTTTTTATTACGTCATTTCAAATTTATTAATTCTACATTAAGACATATTGTACGTTCCATTTATAAATGATAGTAAAACGGTTTTATAAACAACGTTAGATTAAAAATTAACGACAGTCTGTAAACTGTTGTTAAATTAATTGTTTACAGGGTAAAGTCGAAACGTTCGGTTTCTTTGGATATGTAATTCATACCCACTTGTGAATGTTACTGCAGTAAATGATTTTTAACATTTTCATGTGTACATGATAATATTTGGAATAAATCTTGATATATTTGCACGTTGTCGGTAACATTAACATTGTGTACGCATTAAAAGATACCGAAAGGAGAAACTCAAGCGTTTTCAGATTCCAGCCACTGAAACATATTTCAACGCATTCCGTCTCTGACAGGCTGAAAGAAGTTAATTATAAGTTACGGGTCGAGAGTCGCTGATTGCTACTGTTACGTAAAGAATGTTTAGAGAAGCCAAACTTCCTGCCTTTTGTTTCGTGACCGTGTACATATGTAGGAAATGAACTACGAATGCGTCTATATTTATTGTATTTTATTGCAACATCAACAAGTTTATGCGTGATTCGTTTAAATCCATCGGCTAAAGAATAACAGTATGAGTCAGGCTTCAACGTATTCTACAATTTACGTGATATTTTTAGTTCACCATTTGATATGTAACGTTCATGTAAATTGATGATCGTTATTTACTGTTTTTTGTCACACTGTGTTATAGGTTAAATGGTAAATACAATGTAAATTTGTGTGTAAATAGTTAAACGTAGTAACGTTAGTTTACGTTGAATAAGAGAATACAGAAACGTGTGAGGTTAACGGTCATAACCTAAAAGTTGACACTCGGAAGATAAAAAAAGATCGTCTCGATCGATTCTAATGAATTCCATAAGGGTTACCGACCGACTGACCAAACTTACCCAACCTTTACACAAGTACACGTGTACCAACGTGACATTGACTAGTTGTGAAGTTGCGAATTGTAGCGCGAGTCGTTACAACCTGTAAGCATCGAAAATTACTTCCGGCAACCGGATCGGCGATACATCCTGTGAACGGCTCGACGGTTATCGCGTTTCGTGTCTTTCGAGAGAGCACATGCGAAAGAATTATCTCTTACTACAAGACGATTAATCCTTATCTTAGAAGAAAAGGTCATTTTTCTTTACAAAGGAAAGTCTTTTTCTCTTTAATGAATACACACAATAAAACCACTCGATTATCTTGTTTGCGTGTAAAGTTTTTTTTCTCATCCACGTTTTTATTACTTTCTTCCGTTATCTCGCGCGGATGACATGCAGTTAATAACTTCAAATATCTTACAGCAATATTTGCTTTTATTCCAGATCTTCAAAGACAGATTTTAAAGAGTTATCTGTTTGTTTAGACCCCGATGATTTTTGTTGAATGTACTTACGTTTCGTTCGAAAACCATGCAATTTGAAGGTCATAAAAATATCAGTTTCGTGATCTGATTAAGGGAAGCCTTCCATGCCGACCGAGTATTCTGTCCCGAGAATCCGCTGATCTGAAAGGGGACAGAGGAAAAGCACGCGAGGCTTATACGACGTATTTCTAAATACTGTTGTTGGAGCTAATCGAATCATCATTTAAAAATTTCCAACCAATGCAAATGCTTGTAGAAATGTGCAGACAATGTGTATAGAAAAATATGTATACTTGTATTCAATATGCAAATAAATGTAGATTGCAGAACATATTTGACTTCCTTGAACTAGCTATATTTACGTGTACTCGTGAAGAATAAATAATTTTTTATGCCTTATCAGTATCATTTCTCAGGAAATTGTTTTAGTTGTTCTGGTATAAAATCAGTCGCAAACTTGTGAATTTTAGCGTGGTAACGACAATTGTTTGGTGTTGATTAGAATATTCCACTTGCTTCGCTTGCTGTTCTGTCATGCCTGTTGCGAAATCGAAAAGTGCAACACGTTATGGACGCGTAACAAACTGCCGGTAGACGGTTATTATTAGAACGTATGGGTTATAAATGATCGCCTTTGTGTATCTTGAGTGATAAACTGATTTTGTGAGCGTCGCGCGTCTCGATCTGTTGCGCTAAAAAATAAATCTTTCAGGATTGCTTGTTACACAGAAATGCACGTTCGAGCCTGTCAAACACGACAGTGGCGGCACGCATACTTGGTGTTCAAATGCAGAAATATATATGAAGGGACAAATTGAATACCTCGTACGTTCTGATTTTAAACGATGATCTGACTTTTTCTTTTTAACAACATTTAAAAATGAAAAAAACTAAGAATTGATTAGTACACTCGAACGTTCCTAAAGACGATGAACATGTTGGATATCTCGAATACAACATTACTCATCGTTAATGTTATTTCAACAAATCCTCGTTTGATAAAGAATCTCTTTGCCAATCACAAATATTTTTTATCCTTCGCTCGTTACTTGAAATGTAACGTGTGTTCGTATCGATGCAGGTTAAGTTTCTTCTGTTAACATTCTTCCTTCGTTTTTGTAGCCAAATTAATTCGTGTGATATATTGTTCGTTTGGCTTCTCATCTTGTTTAACGTATCGATGACGCAAAGTGAAATATTCTAAGCCTGGTTAAATGCAGGTGTACAGAAGAGTGCACGATAATTTGCATGTACGCAAAACGTTATTGGCGTTCTTACGATTCTCCTGATAAGGATTAATTATTTCGTCATCGTTTTCATATTTGTTCGAACGATTTTCCATATTTCAACAATAAACGCTCTGGGTATTTCGCAAATGATCGTAAATCCGCGTTTCGTAAGCAATAAAATGACAAATAGCCGGGGATAAATTAGTATTAATCGAAATAATGATATACAATATCTAAAATATGCATACGTATTGTCACATATTGACAATTGGAATTAGTAACCTGTTTCAATCAACTGCAAATTTATTCGAGCACTTTAGTCGTACGCGTTAATTCACGTCCGAAGGATAGCCATATTGAAAAGGAAAGCACATTTGAATGCAAGCATAGTGTGAAAGTTTTCTGTTCCCGCCAATGAAATTTTAATGCAAAAATTTAACGAGGAATTCTCAGTAACTCTGTTATAATTCAGAATTCAACTACACGATGCATTCCAGAAATTCCAAACCGATACAAGGATCTAATTAACTATCGAAAATAGAGTAAAACATTGTTTTACAGGTTAGAAAGTTTCTCCGTTTTCTCGCTAAATGTCCACTCACCTCGTTTCAGTTAAATTACTACGCGATATCTAAGACGTTAGCAGAAAAATAATTGTAATAATTTATTTAAACTTTCATCGTTGATTTTTACAAAAAATGATCTGTCTATTAATAGAAATATCACATTTCAGAATTCCTTCGGTAGACCGGATGACATCGTCGCGGCGGAAACCTTGGCGAATCATGTCCGCTGCAACAATTCGTTCGTGCACGCGGTGTTCCAAGCCCAGTTTCGGTCTAGTCTCACATGTCCAAGATGTCACCGGCAGTCGAACACTTTCGACCCTTTCCTCTGCGTGTCAGTTCCTGTCCCGCAGAATCACCGGCAGATGAACTTTTTCGTGAACGTCCTTTACACGTCGCAGCAGCCGCGACAAGTGAAGATAGGCGTAAGCGTGAACCAGACGTCCAACGTAAGAGAACTCAGAGAGATCCTGGCCAGTGATACTGGGATCGACGAGAATCATATGTTACTCACAGAAATTCACGACGAAGGATTTCACAGGTAAAGTATACACTTTTCTTAATAACTCTAAGCTATTTATACTTTGTAACATTGACAATGAGTATTGTTCATTTCTTGCAGAACTTTCTCAGATTGCCAACCCTTATCTGTGATCACGGAAAACGATCCACTCTATTGTATAGAACTGCCACAGTTAAAAGAACCCACGGAACAAGCATATATTTTGCTGGTATGGATCAATGTTCTTGTGAAAGGAGACTTAAGGCAACGTTTTGGCAGTCCATACACTATGCAGGTGTCCCGAGAAACGTCGTACGAAGATCTACAAAAGCTTCTGTTAAAAGAAATGCACAGTGTCCTGACCGATGACGTGCTCACGTCAAGTCAAAGTCCTGGACTGTTTAACATCCGTGTGGCAGATCCTGCAGCTACACCAATTCAAGATGAGCATCCTTGTATAGATCCTTGTGTAGAACATCCACTTTACACAGAGCAAATTGAGCAAGCTCTGGCTCTCTGTGCTGATGACTCTGGTCCTCAGCATGTGAAATTAATTCTGGAGTGGGACGAAGCCGCTAAGTGTAATATCATTCAGGATGATAGCGATCAAATAGAAGAGCACGCCAGTGTGAAGCAATTGAAGACTAATTCGGAACTGGGAGGAGCTGTTACTTTGGAAGAATGTTTTGATCTGTATACGAGGGCCGAGATATTAGGAGCTGAAGACGCGTGGCATTGTCCATATTGTAATAAGAAACAAGAAGTTGTAAAGAAGTTAGGCCTTTGGTCTTTGCCTGATATCTTGGTCATTCACTTGAAGAGATTTCGACAGCAATCTAAACAAAGATCTACGTCGAAATTGACCATGTTGGTTGATTTTCCTTTATACGGTTTCGATATGACTCCCCATCTAGCTCATAATGGAGTTCAGACGCATAACAACGTCAGTAGTTTAGGTGGGCTGGGTTGGTCACCATGGAAAAAGCCCAGACCGCGTCAACAAAACATCCCAAAGTACGACGAAAATGTATATGACCTTTACGCGATTTGTAACCATCACGGGCAAGATTTGCAAGGAGGTCATTATACCGCGTTCTGTCGAAACCCATACGATACTCAATGGTATTGTTTCGACGATACTAGAGTAGAAGCCGTGAATGACACCAATCGGGTCTCGAAGATGCCACCATTTTATTTTAACAACAAGACTAACAACAATGTTACGAATAATAATCAGAGTAAATCGCAGGAAGTGTTGTGTCAAGATAAAATCGTAGAGGAGAAGAACATTACAAATTTCAATAGGGGATGTCGTAATTACGCTACGTTACAACCGAAGAAAAGAAATGTTGCGACAGAAACGGACATCGGACAAATTGACCATTACTCGGACGATGAAGCACCTTGTAGAAGAGAATGGGTAAGTTCAGTGTCAACGATATATACATATACATGTATATAAAATTGTAAATTACAAGTCTTTCTAAATTCGTATCTGTGATTGCAGGCCTCTCCAAAACCTGTACGAAAAATGTCGTCCATTACGTTAACCCCACACATACCACAGTCCAACGACACAACGATAATCCACGAGTCGACGTTGTAACACACAATTTAAGCCAGACTTTTGATCTGGTTCGAGCAATGCTCAATGTATAGTGCCTGAAATATGGTGTGTGAACAGCCAGAAAAAAAAACTAGAACTAAAAAAACATAAAGACAATTTTTTCTTGCGAAACTTAAATTCATTCTTATCGAAAAGTCGATATAGTTTTGTTTAGAAGAGAATCTGAGAATCTTTCGCTCCGAATTTATACATATGAAAAATGCTTCTCTTTTATATTAGGTGTCGATCGAGCAAAGAATATCGAGAACCTCTCTCACTATCTTTCTCTTGATATTTAAATGTGAAATAAATAAATTAAAAAATTGCGACGTTCGACAAATGTTTTCTGAAAATGAAAGCGTAAACTCAAGGCATTAGAGATTTTTGTATTTATAACGTGTTTATATACAGATTGCGTGAATTGTATTGTACATTATAGTTGTTAGAAGACTTTTTAAAAAAAGGACAAATATTATATTCAGTATCAGAAACTAAGGATCCTTCATTTACGAATCGTCTATTGTTAATACTTAGATTTTCAACGCAATAGGTCAACTAATGTTCTACATATGTCCAGCAAGAATGTATGTGTGTCAAAGAAACTTTGTGCGTGGCTGCTTCTTTTTTTTTCTTGCAAATCGAAAGTCTCTCGAGTCGCGTTACAATGAAACTATGACAATAACTGAATCTTGTGTGTGTGAGCAGGATTCACGTATTACACTGACTTTGTTTTTTCAAGGATAATTCTTGTCTGGATATACAATGTAGTCGCTAACCATTGCTTTGAATCTATGCTTAACTATAATATTTATATTGTATTTGTATCACCCACTAGTGGCCTTATCTCAGTAATTAATATTGATATTGTCATTTGCAATCATATAAGCATACTTACTACTTCGACGGCGTTTTATTACTGGACATCGACATTATATCGCGAAAGCCACCGAATTATAATGTGCGTATCGATAATTTTTATTTGGATTCTTACGAATCGACGACCAAGAATATCAGTATACTTCCACTCTAAACTCTAGTTCTTCCTGCAATAATCGGCGTAATCGAATTTTATCATTCAGAAATGAAAACGTGTCGATTCTTGACAGAATGACTTTCCCCCACGTTGACTCTATATATCTTTCAGCGATCTTATTCTTTTGTTTTTATTTTTATTGTCAAATACTCTAATCTCCCAGTTGTAACGATCATTCCACTTAGGACACGTTTGTAATAGAAAGTGATGGAAAGCGGAAGCATGAAAGTGAAAAACAGATTTATATATATATGCATATACGAACGTATATGCACAGAGGCAGGTGTATAATTAGCGAGTGAAAGATATTTAAGTTATTTTAAAGGTAAACATTTATTACTAGTCACACGTATCATGGACCGAGGGGTAGCGAGTAGAGAATGTATGTGACGAATTTGTAAATGCAGATAGTGTCGAGTGCAGCGTTAATTGTATAATGAAAGGCGCTCGATAGAGGCATAAACAACGTAAGGTATACTTCGGTATACCCGCTTTAACGGTGTTACTACGTAAGTTGGTTCCTGTGGCAAGGTTAGGCCGAGTCAAGTGCCATGATGGCGTCCCGAAGGCGTAATACTCATTGCAATTCAGATAATATTTTTATACTCGGTCATCTGACAGAGTTCTTATCTTCAAATCTAGCAATTGGAAGCTTTAAATAATTAATTAACGATTGATTAATTGCATCGAAAATAATTTTAATTTAATACGTAAAAGGAGAAGCTGGTATTTTTAAAATATTCCAATTACTTAACTTGAAAACAAATACCACGTCAGATGGTCGAGTAACATTTTATTAAACATAAGATGTTCACTTCGTGGCACTTAACAAACTATAGGGTGGAATGAATGCAGAGTGTATGGTAGGGGAAAGAAGCAAGAGAGAGCCGCTACCCGTTTATTATTCTATGATTTTAGAATTTGCGCAATCATGTTAACCGACTGAGGGATACGCTATTAATTATTCATATTATCGCTGCTGTTCTTTTTGTTGAAATAAATTAGACAATATATACATAAAAGAAATGTCATTCCACTTTGTGCACGCTGAACTATGTCGGTTTTAATCTATGATTCTGTATACTTCTCGTTTTTTTAAGTAACCATCATCGAGGTTTGTCACGTTTAACGGCAGAAATTAATTCTCATGCTTTTTATGATTTTTCAAGAGCACGCGCGGGAAATTCAAATTCAAACCTGAAAGTATCGACCAATCGTTCACTAGTCTAATATATTTTATTATAGTTTGCGAAGAACACGATAATTTGTTCTAACATGACATAATATTGGAACGAACTATCTAGTTCACCAGATTATATTATTTTAATCACACCATTTCGTGAATCATAGAGCGTAGATCGAGTAGATGAGGAAGCAAGTTCGAATTCGAAACGAAACATTGTATAATATTACTATTCAAGTCTAATGTAAAAAGTTTATAAATAATTAGTGATAAAATAAATCGTAATATACAGAGATTTTGTTAATAAAAGGTAATATTCATACGTAAAGTATTTGGAATATAGTAATTTAAAGATAATTATTATGTATTTGACTATTATTTACATTAAAATTCGATTATAAAACATGCGTCCGTCTCAGAAATATAATCCCTGATTTTTTTTGTTATTGAATAAATGTATAGCCTTTATTTTCTTATAAAAATGTTAGGTACTTCGTTATAAATATTTGTTTTTTTTACAATAAGTGTCTTATTAATATTAACAAGAAAGACTAATACAACTTGTGCAAAAAATACACGAGGATACGAAATATCAAAGACTTAAAATATTTTCCCTTCCACATCGTTGAACTGTACTGTCGCAGCGTTAACTCGCTAGTAAGCTAGTAAGGTGCCCCTAACATGTAAACTTTCGTTGAATGTTATGCTTACCACCTTCATTCTATGTGTAGAGGAGACATGTTATTTAACGTACACATACTTCTTCGTATTTACAATTTCTTTGCATTTTCTGCTTGTATAAATTAAACACGTTTTTCATGATTTGCTTTCTAAATAACTTCCGTATATAAATTGTCGGTAAGTAATTATTACTGACAGTCGGTAATTCAAAGACATCGTGTTGATATTAAAATTATAAAGTTTATGTTCAATTTTGCACGAACGAATTCATAAAATTATAAAAAGGATATTACATGCATGAATATATTAGAAAAAAGATTGAATATTTAAAATATTCTTCTCACATTTCTACGACGTCTTCCGTTTTTTTTTTCACGTTGTTTAATGCATTTAATAACCATGAACTTTAATCAACATACTTGTTTAAATTTGAAATAGTCAGTTATGCCATTATCCCTACCATCATTTTATGACTGAGTAATGCTTTTAAGTACATATCTATCTTACTTAGAAGCATTTTCCAATACAGTCTTTAACAATCGTCTAATACAACGAACTTTTTAAATTTAACTTTGTATACGTTCAAATTGTTAACTCATTATACACTACTATGTTATTATCGTCGAAATTTTAATCTACCAAAGAGAAAGATTTAGCCGATAACATCATACTTTTCTTTTTAACGATCGGTTAATTACTGTAAAACATTTTTTTACATTTTAAAATTTCATTCGATACCCTTCATCGACAGCAGAACCACAGGAATATTCGAATCATACATATATGAAACACGGATAATCCAGCATATCCTGCTCGCTTATTTATTGCACACGAAGACGTATCGCAAATCCATAAATATAAGCTACGAAAAACATCGCCGTTCACAATACATCGAAATTCATAGCATATTCCTCTCATAGTAGAGCAAAGAGACTCAAGTGGTTCCTTTATCGTACAGTCTGCTCAAATAAATCGTTCCTATTTTACAATAATACCAGAAACTCTTTTACCTTACAAAACGTACTACGATCGTAAGCTTGCCTTGGGTTAGTGATAGGAAGCAATGTCATCAGGCGTTTAATCGAGGAGCGTGTCGACCAGCAGGAGCCTTCTCTCGCCGATATTTACCTCGAGCGGAACAATTCGTCCGAGCGAACCGTACATACGTCTTACGAGGAAGATAGAATTGCGTGCTAGTACGTCGGGATTGGCCGTGGCGCCACCCCACTCCGCGACGGCTTTCAGTCGAGCTCGGACCTTCGTCGGGTGCGGAGTGTGTGTTGTATCGTCGTGTGTCAGTGTTCAGATTATTCACTGAAAATTAAGGTAAGAGAACCTCTTCGTTTAGTATGTATTTATATATATAACAACAAGGGATGTCCTTTCACTTATTCGACAACAACAACCGGTACGTGAAGCCGGCGAATCCTCCTCTCAGAAAATCGTCCTTGTTCTCGATTTTAGCCTATGTTGCGTGGAGACAGAGAGTGTCGTGCGCGATCGAGTTTCAATGATTTCTTTGCTTACGCTCGAAATACGTACCGTGCCATAAGTAACCGTCGGCGTTCTAACGAAAGCAACAACAAGAGACAGCGCCTCTCCCACGAGATAAGAGGGACAGAGAGAAACGTGGTGGTGGCGCTCAGAGCCGTCTTCGTGTGTACTCTCGGGATCGATACACAGTACACACTTGGCGCGACGTCCGTGTATAAGGTTACGGTTCGTGTACGGCAGATCCATGCGGGTGTGTATGCCTCTTTCCACGCTTGTCCTCTCGCGCCGTCGTTGTTACGTGTCTGGCTGCGTGCGTGCCTCCCTAAGAGGCGAGGGTGAATTTTCGGTGTAGCCACGGAAAAATTCAAAGAAATCGAGAGAAGCACGCTCCGCCACTATATGCGGGTAGTGAAACGCACCCTCTCTCTCTCTTTTTCTCTCAAAGCGAGCGCGCCGGCAGCCGATGCTGAAAAGAAACGCGTGAGAATGACAAGTAAGCATAGCAAGGATATTTAAAAAAGGGGGAACTCTCGCGAAGCCAGGAGTTTCACGTACTGCGAATTAAAATAATGAGACTTGTCGCGTATTCCTGCTTCCAGCATGAATACATGCATAGAGTATGAAATGTCACCGATTACTGTTGCTTTTGTTAGGAAAAAAAATATGAAAGGACACTTTCGTTAAAATGAAATTAGACTGTAATTTAAGTATAATGTAGTTATTTATTAAGGGTACAGAATAACAACTACGATATTTATATTACTATGCACATTACGTTCCCATTAAAAAAGAACAGTATTTTACTTTTAAGTTGGTACTATAAACCTCTGATAAAGACCTGGTCGTGGGTAAATTTTTCCATAAGAAACATCCGAATGCCACTTTAACCGCCAAATGCTTATTTAGATTTGGCGATAAGTAGCGAGTTATTTTGTACGTTGACTCGCGCAAAAACAATTTCACTAGCAGTACACCTCTTAATCTCGATTTAAAGAAAAAAACAAGGAAAAACTCGTATTCGAGGTCGGTAAACGTAGCGTGGCAGCGCGCAGTAACGTGAGGCAAATACTTTTTTCAGCAACATAGCCTTCCACGCTACGTTTCCAATATCATACCGGTTGAATTTTTTACAGGAATATCCTGTACTTTTTTTTTCGTGATGACAGAACGAAGAAGTCGAAGATGGATAAGAGGTTAGGATAACATTGATATCGATCGGTCGATTATTCGATTATAATCTCGTATCGAACAAATCTGATATTTCCTCGCGTGTACGTCTGGAACTCGGTACAGCAACCGACAACAGGATAGTCATAATACGCTCGACTGATTGTGGGAACCGAAGAACCGCAGCGCGCGCGCGAGATTAGGATAGGTCTCGCTGAGCCGGTCACTTTTTACGTAACGAGAAATTGTAATATCCTAACCTATTTATCGGTTCGACGAGCAGCCGTATTCACCAAGGAACACATTAATAATTGCGTGTCCGCGAGAATCCTTCCGCGTGCCGTTCTTCTTCTGTCTATTACATTCTCGATTCAGTATATATTTATTTACATATGTACGTATTTCATGCTGTAATTTAACAAAGAGTTTTGCGGAACAGATTAAACGTTTCTTTTAATGGTCCATTATGAATGCATAAGTAGGTAGGAAGTTTCCACTTGTACCGTTATATTTATTGTTCACGCCTTCTACAATTACCATTTAAAACTATATGGTGGCTGTCCTTAACTAGCCTAGGCTGTTGCTCGAACCATCTGTGAATCGTCCTGTGATTCACCTATAACCTACACTAGGTCGTACGTGTTAAACGTCCCCCTCCCCTCTCTCCTACTCGTCTATTTTTCTTTGTTTCAAAGAACTGGTCAGTCCATTTGTCAGAGTGCTTGGGCAAAACTATTGTTTTGCCAAGCAATCGAAGCGAGCAACGGTGCATCTCAATTGCGACGAGCTTTGCACGAGTGCTACTCGCGCGTTTTTTTCCCGTTGCCACGGCAACGGAGCTCACACGACGTTACCAGCCTTAACGTTTCTTACACCGCGGACGCGACGAATTGCGAAAACTCTTGCAATCGATTCGCAATAAGAGTTGTGCGCTTAAAATTATGTTTATATTCGGTGTGAAACGTTCAGAGATACATACATATATGTTTATGTACATCGAAATACGAGGAACGAAATACTTGAACGGACGTGGCTCTCGCGTGAGATTACTTTTATCCTTGTGTGCGCTCTCGACGAGGTAGGTTTGTAAACAGTGAAAAAAAAGGCAGCCGTACAAACTGTGTACACTGCATTAGCAACGCATTGACGCTTCAAACTGGCTGGTTCTTGTTCGCTCTTGTTTTTGCAATGATTTAAAACCGATAGAACGAGTGTGTATATACGAGTAGTCGCTAGAGTGAATTTTCATATTCGAACCAAATATTAATAACTGTCAATATAAATTCTACGTTTCGTGCAACAAATTGAACTCACTCTCTACAGCCTCTCTCTCCCTCTCCCTTTCTCCTTCTGTTCGCTTTATTCGACGGAGAAGCTATCGAGATGTTCCGAATCAATAACAACCGACTGAAAGTGGTGTCAATTTCAATGAAACTGGAACGCGACGGTATTATTTCGTTTAAGCGCGAGCGCGCGCGGAAGGTTAGTTTCGTGGCGTGCGGTGAATTCAAACTTATCGACTGTGCCTCGCGGAAAATCTGTATTTTCGACGTAAAAGCGATCTGGTTGTTATTCACTGGGAACAGTTTGTCGGTGCGACGCGACGCGAGAAGGGGAGAGGTGGAACTCGGGTAGCGACGAGGTCCACGGATAGAGATAATTTAACCGGTCAAATAACCAACGAAATAGTTTTTGTTATTTCGTTTAAATTACACAGGTAACTCGTTAAATACACCGGTGACCGACCGTGTTCTGATCGTTTAACGATTCAATGTAATTATCCGCTGTTTGGTAACTTGTTTGATTCCAAGGGTAATTAATGTTTCTGATTGTAGACGGCAATTTATAATTTAGTAGTATGTTTGTGGCAATTAGTTGGTTAATAGTCGTGAACAAGGGGTTTCTTTATGAATAAGTAACTTGGTAATGCGTTTTCGATACGAAGGGAAATGTTATCCCACGAGCATTTGCTTATTTTATCCGGTGCTGATTGATTATTGCAACATTCAAGACATCGACATTTACGATTCGTTAGTAACGATCAGCATAATTGACAATTATTCCTCGATTCGATTCAGTCTTGCGTATCGCCAAGTTAAAAAGTATGCGAGGGAGTTAAACCTCGACGCAGCACGTTTACAACTCGCTGGAAATAATTAGGCCAATCAATAGTTACGACTGCCCTTAGTGCACCCTTCGTTTCTAATGAACTCTAACCACAGGCAAATTCATAGCCGGTTAACGTGTTACAACTTGTTACATTTGATTTACAATCTCCGTCATAAAGATAACCATCGTTCACTATTATGCGTGGCGTCTAACATAACATAACCTAACCTAATTTCGCAGCATAGAATCGTCTTCAATTCATGTTGAAGTATTTCAATCAGAACACATAATTGTTTCACATCCTTGACACTGTGATCCACATTCACCCTCACTTCGTTAAAACAATAGTTCAAACAATATCTTACCAGAGTTCGCCTAACGAATTTTTATTCCGCGACACAGCGTTGTCTCGCCGGATACGCCGGAACGTGTCAACCATAACTATTAACCCACAATATTGCAACCTAGCTAGTTAACCCTTTGAGGACGATGAACCTATATACAAGGTGTTCAAAATTAACGTGCTTCAAGCTATTTCGAAGATTATCGAAAACAATTTACAATCTTTATTTTTTTTTTACTGTTCCCTATTCTTTACGCCCTTTTGTATATTCAGAGCTTCTTTATACACGGTATTCCATAAGTAAACTATTGATATTCCAACTTATAACAGTCAAATCTACATCGAGAGAAAACTCGAAACAGAGTCTACGACAAGAAATAAAAACTCGACGGAAAGGCGTGCAGGATCGACAAAAGAAAAATCGTTTGAGCCGTTTCTCGTTAGAGGGACACACATCTGCGAGAGATTCTCGCGTCGACACGCGACCGCGTTCTCGGGGCACGCGTGTTCCCGCGGTTTGAATCGAACGGAAGCGTTATTGAATCGGCAATACGGTCGAGTGGCTCATTGGAATGCAGTGATGCATCGCTATATATACGTCAGCGTGGCGCGAGAGCCGGTGGCCAGTATATAGCGCGTCTTCGGCTTAAACAAACGATCAGTATGCAAGGTGAGAGGCTGATCTATTCAGTCTCTGGACGGAATGCAGAAAAAGCCGACGTTTCAGACAAAAGCTATTCGCCACGCTCTGACCGAGTGGAAGTCTTCCTGGAGCCCCGTTATATTCGCTTGTCCGCCTGCCTGCCTGCCCGGCTGGCTTCTTCACCCTTGGAAACGCGACTTGAAATCTGAGAACCCATCTGAACTGGGACTCGTTCTCTATTATGGAACTAGATGGTGCACGTGTATGTTCCTATTCGTGGAAAAATGTTGTTTTGACGTATCAATCTGTTAACCGTGTAGGACAAGTTAGTATGTTATTCGAACGACAAGAATTTCTAATTGAGAAAGAATATCGTTAACCTCTTCACAGGGACAGTGATACATATGTTTAGTTTTTTCCCGAAAAGTCCAATATTTCTAATACAGAAAATATGATAAACATAACCTCCCAACAAGAAACAGTTTAATTGCTATCGACTCAACATGAATGTAAGTACATAAAAAATTAGATTATTTCTTCGTAACTTCAAAAAAATCGTCCCTGAAGAGG